CTGGTGTCCGTCAGCACATATGTGCCCATACCTATTTAAACATATTGCACTTTCCCTATTTAACCTTCTCGATTGCACTACACTGTAAACATTTCACCTCCCAACAACTCCTAACACAGCCTAATCACAATTGTTTCTGACTGTTCAACAGCTTCATTGACAGTGGAATAAAGGAAAACTTATACCTTACCTCGGAGGGCAGAAGCTATAGATCATCAAACTGTAAATTGAACAGTTCAAACAGTTCAAACAGTTCAAACTCTCTATACAGGATGTGTTTGGGGTCGCATGTGATTTTACGGCCGTGCTTTCTCACCATCTCCTCAAATATCTCCAGAAGAGAGGATGGTAGAAGCATGCCAATTATTTTTACAGCCCTTTTTATCAAGCTCTGGAGTTGTGATTTAGATTTAATTTCATTAAAATGTCCCCCTGTTAGGAATAATAAGGCTTCATTGAATAATTTGTTGCTATGGTGGAACACTTACAGCTGGACATCCAGTAGGTTACAGGTTTGGGCGGGCCTGGTGGCGGGTCACAGGACAGGACCAGAGGCAAGCCAGCGCTGACCGTCAATGGCTCCAGAATGTCCCTCGGCCACACAGGAGCTCCTACAAAAGGTAGATTTGTGAGCAGTTAATAAACTACCGTATAAGAATGTGTTTATGAGTTGAACCTACTGACATGTATTGCCTCTGGAGCTGGAACCTGACTTGGGTTATGGACCATAGACTCCATTGTTGTCCAAAAACGATTAAAGAGGCCCTATTATGCGTTTTTAGGGGGTTTCCCTTTCCTGTAGTATGTTATAAAGGTTTTTAGTGCATGTAAATGGTCTGCAAAGGCTTGAATCCCAAAGTTCCCTTGACTGGGACTTTACCTTCCCCACACTGCCCCCCTGCCTGAAACGTCTCCATTGGACTCCTTTGTTGACTTTTCGTAACACAGTGACATCACTATGTTACACTTGTGCTTCTATTGGCTAGCGCTCCACCACATTGCGCGTGATAGGCTAAGGAGCGGGTCATCTCTAAGCAGTTGACCAATCACAACAGAGCCGGCAAGCTACCAATCAGAGCAGACTGAGCTGTGTTTTAGACAGAGGTTGAAAAGAGGTGCTGCAGCACAGGCAGTAAGAGAAAAATAAAGACCTTATTGTACCTATGTAGTGTCATTTAATAACAGTAGGTCACTGTGCAGTGCAGCATATAAAGAAATAGCAACAAACAAATATTCCCTTACAGCCCCAATACTGATCTTACTGTATAGTCGTAGTCTGATTTTGTTGGAGTATGCAGATCCATACTCATTGGAGGCGATGCACTGATACTCGGCCTCGTACTGTTCTGGATTGTTCCAGGCATAGATGTCCAGCGTCCCTGAGCGCCTGCGCATCGATGTTTGAGAGTCACGTGCCACGTTCAAGTATTTCCCATTACGCCTCCATGAGAAACTTCAGGAAAGTGTAAAGAAAGACAGGAAAAAACAATGAAGTGTGTTGCAGATATAAATACCACAGTTCACTGGGCTATATAAGCTCTTACATAGGGTGAGGGTTTCCTTTGGCTTCACATTCTATGACCATGGTGTCCTTAGGGTCTACAATATGATCCTTCACTGACTGCCTTATGATGGTTGGGGGCTGCCTCACTGCAGACAGAGAAATAAATCAGCTCAGGGTATTAGAAATGTCAATGGTAATACAAGATAAATCACAAAATGCAATTTTAGTTACACACTCACCTTCCAGAGGGACGTCAAAACCCCAAACACTGTGCCATAGAAGCAGCAGCAGCGCTGGTTCGACCAGTCTCCCCATCTTTACAGAGCATGGAAACACAGGAACATTTACTTCACCAACTCTGCTGTTCACCACATGAATGAAAAAATAAGATATCTACTGTACAATACTTTCAAACGAATGTCAATACTGCGAAAATACACAATTTCTTACAACAAATATAAGCTCTTAATACTATCAGCATGTAAATAACGTTATCAAAAGTAAAATCACTCATTCTGAAGAAGAATTGATCCTCTGATAGTTGTTCCATTATATATGAATTCAAATTAAATTATTATAAAACATGCACAAAAGTGTGATGTTTACTGTTTTTTGTTGTGGTGTGAATATTTTAACTAATTAATGCAGTTTGTTAGTCGAGGCCCAAGGTCGATCTGACGAGTCTTGAGATGATTCATTGGAGAAAAAGAAGAGTAAAAAGGTTCTGCTACATAAATATGTATACTTTTTGTAATTTATTTCTAAGCTTTCTCTTTTTGTTACATATTGGATAATTGAATAAACATTGAGAGACAAACAGACAGAGGGGACATCACTATTAGGTGAACCTTCCAACACTTTGTGAAACATTTGAGTATGAGGCCATACAACAAAACAGTTGGAAATCAGTTGTTCAATATTTAATAATGTATTATATTTTATAAGCATTTTCACTGTTTTTGACCAAACTACATTTTTTAAACGTAGTGGAAAAGAAAAATAAAGTCCCATCAAATTAAAACACCACAGTACAAGTACCTTCAAAATGTAGAATGATTAAGTTAATGTACTTAATTATTTCCACCACTGACATCTCAACAACTTAAATCACACTGCTGTATCATATTATCTTAACACAGCTTGTCATCAACAGGAGTAAAAAGTGTCATATCATTCCTTTCACCATATTAATGCTGGTGGTAATATGCAATGAACCACAAGTCGTGTTAGAACAAAATGTTGTCAGTACCTACCTCTCTCATTCAAAGTCAAATCAGCGCTCTCTCCTCCCCATCTCTGTGGCTTCCCCAATGCAGCGATAAATCCAAATTATTCTTGTTTGTGCAGTATACCAATTAAAGCCTCAAAAATCAGGTCAAGAACCCTAGAGGAGTTGATACACTTCAGTAATAGAGTTTCTGTCACTGCCACTTACACTCATGCCTACCCAGCTTATGAATAATGAATGAGCGCCATACACCACCTACTCCTCACCCACATCCCTTCACTGTTCTGACCCTGCTCCCATGTCTGAACAATCCCTCTCAATCAAACACAGTCACAAAGTTTGTTCACACAGTTAACAAACTGAAGTCCTCAAGCTGTAAAAGTTAGGATTTATTAATTCCACAGTTAGGGACTTTTATATGATTTGTACTGAAAAGAGCATGGCTTTTCATTTCAGCCTGATGCATATCTATCGAAGCAACAAGAGCATTCTTGTTTGTTTTGATGACATCAAAATGTGGGCTTCATTGTTGACTGGAGAGAACTGGGGAACAGAGTATGAAAGCAATGTTTGTTTCTCTCATATTAACTTACATATGAGATATCTGGTGACAGTCACATGACTCCAGCGCAATAGCCCTGAAAAATGGAAGGACATCTTTCTAAACAAGTGTTTGACATTCTCTGATGGGAAATTACACATCTTAAACTCCCTTATCATACCTCCTGTATTTTGAATTTTCAATACCAATTAGGACCTAATCTATGTTTTGTAAGACATGTTACATCTTCACACACATACACATGCCTCAGAGGAGGTAAAGGTCATAGCTATTCGGCTGAGAAAGTCCTACAGAAGGAAAGCTGTTTTCTTTTCTAGAAACAGTGCCAAAGTCACAGGAGAAGCTTTTATAGTTAAACAAAAGCCTGCTTTCGACAGAGTCCCGACCTGTGTGGGCTCTCAGGCATCCACACGGGGCTGCTTATACAAACCCGCTGATGTGCTAAACAATAGCTTGGTGCTGGGGAAGGAGGGGGTATAAAATGAGATAGCTCTGCCTACAGATTAAATTAAGCTTGTCAACAAGATTTTTATTCTCAGGAAAAATATGATGCTCATTGGAAAGAGTGTCTGACCACTTGAGACGTGAATCATTAAGACTCTCATAGCTCTTCATCCTCTGGCCCTGATCCCCTCCTCCACAAGCTGACTTGACTCACAGGGAAAACAAAAGCAGAAGTGGCATGTTTAGCTTCTTGGCTCTCAGAATGGGCTTTTCCCCCCATACATTGGCCTGGCAGTGAGCAGTGATCAGTGCCATGCACCAGATTGCACAGTGAAGAGGCCGAGAGGCGGACAGAGCCAGCTCAGTGGTGACAAGAAGGTCTCTATGCTCGCGGGTCTCCTTTGGCACGTGTGCCCAGGGTTCGGCTAAAAGCAGATGGCATGTGGGAGGGAGAACTCGTCCGCACAAGCTGCCTGTTCAGACTCGGAGCACCTATCATTTGCACTTTGACGTCACTGCATCAGGAAGAGAACAAGAAGAGGCTGGAGAGACACTCCAGGACACTGTGCTACATTGAGTCATCACCACTGACACAGTCAAAACATTATTCTTTATCAAACTTGTGATTCAGACTTTATGGTTAGGTAGGAGTAAACCCAACCTTTATCTCAAAAAGCATCCTGTAAATAGAAGAAGTTGTGCTAGTGGAGACTGTGCTTAGTCACAACGTGTGAAGCTAAAGGCTAATTTCAACATGCTAACATGCTAATGTCTAGCAGGTAGGCCTACAGTATCATTTTTATTATGTTTACCATTTTTATTTAATGTGTTAGCATATCCACATTGCCAATAAAAACTAAAATAATTTGAGAGTGAGGGTAACTTCAGTGGTTTTGAAGCTATCTGGTCATAAATCAAAGTATTGGACACATTCAAATGTTGATATGATGGTGGAACTAATAAGGAAATGTAAAGGGTTTTTGAAAGCTATTCCCATTCATCTTGAGACAAATAAGGTTTTCTGATTCCCATGAGGAAATGAATGTCTAAAAAAGGTTTAATCTTTTCAGTCACAACCACAAACATCCAACTTGTGGTGACGCTACAGGAAATTCAGTCCAATTCATCATTTGAGGATTATGATATAATAATTTTGATCACAATCCATTACATTCATGTAGATATTTCAGTCTGGACAAAAGTGGTGAACTAATCAATGACATAAATCGTCAGCCCAGATTATCATAAGACTGATTTTGTTTCTTAACATTATTAAGCAAGATACGTAGTTCACAAAGTCAAATGCACTCACACCCCCTGAATTGTTAATGTTCAATAACAACCTATCCTACTTTTAATTTAGTTGGACATTTAATTTGAACTTTCACTTCCATATCCTCAGAGGAGGAAACAGTCATAGCCATTCAGCTGAGAAAAGCCTACAGGAGGAATGCAGTTTTTTTTTTCTTCTAGAAACAGTGCTAAAGTGATGCAAATGTATGCCAGTCGTCTCAATGTCAGGTGTTGGAGCTTAACAATCGTGTGCTCACTCTCATACAAATCTGCTGATGGAGTTGTGGACACATCCCACTTCTCAACCCAGACTATGACATCATTAAAACCTGGACTTCCACTGATAGCCGTCTTGAGCGACAGCTGCAAGAAATAACTCACTCCTTTGCATGGCGTCAGATTCAATGCTACTCTAAAATGCTTTGATCCACTTCAATACTTATTGCTTTATATCCTAAAACAATTGTAATTAACATGCAGAATGTAGTAATTGTTTGGGGTCCTACCTTTGAGTGAAGTTTAAGTGTTTTCTCTGCTCCTTGATCCCTTTTTCCACTTGTTGCAGTGAAAGCAGACTCCTACTCTCTTCTCATCTTGTCACAGTAGATTCACATCATCATCATCATCATCATCATCACCTGTTCCAGCCGCTCTGTTGTTTGTGTCCCACCATCAGTTTAAAGCAGGTGACTGGCGGGACAACAGAGACTCACGTGGCCCAAGCTCGGGTCACAGGGCCTGAGCCTATAATAATAAAACCATTGTGAAATCCACACAGAAATATAACGTCATCTCCACAATGATGGGGAAAAAAATGAAACTGGTGAAATGTAATGCACTAGTTGGTGGATCAGGTTTAGATCGACTGCAGCTTGCTAAGAGAAAATTTCTTCTCTCTTTTTTTTGTTGTGCTTTTTTGCACTTGTGCTGTTGATTTACAGAGTGTGTTAGGGGGTGGGTTACTGACCTTGTATCTCCACTCTGGCTGGCACGAACGCACACGCTCTCACACAAAGCGTTTCTGTCTGGAACAAAGTCCGTCCATTGTTGACAGGGAGGGCACAGCTTCCACACACATGGAGTAGATTTAACCCGTCACATTCAAATGATTGGATGACTTCTCCCTCATTGATAAAATCGTACATTATTAGCCAAGACCACGGTGACGAAGGGTTGAGTATTCAAAATGTGATGATGGTTTCAAGCATTTAGTAAAGGAAAACATTTTTAATAACAATGAAAAGGGTCTTCATAAATATCAATTTATTTTTAAATAAATACTCATATGCCAAAAGCACAATCACATCAAACATAAGCTGTAATGTTACATGAAAATGTATAGTTTATAGCTAATATTACATTCCACAACACTAATAAGTGCACCATTAATAATGGAATATTGAATTATTTCACATGTGCATGTTAAACAGACCTTTGTTAAAAAGTGCATACAGATATATATATATTTTTTAATTGTGCATATTTGTTCTGTGTGTCTATCTCAACAAGTCGTCAAAAACATTATACATATTTAAGTGAGATTTGTTCTCAATTGTTCACTTTGATTTGTCTTCAGTAAATGAATATTAGGAAATAGACAAGACAGTGAAGACATATTGTGATACAAAAACGTTGGCAAATGTGACGAGGCTTCCCTGTTCCTTTGGAGGTTGTCTTATAAACTTGAAACATTCCTTATACAAAATATGTTTGTTCAGTCAACTTCAAAGCTAAGTTGTACTACTGATCAGTATATATTAACTTAATACAATTTGTCTAAATAGCTGGCTTTGTAACAGTGAGTTCAGCACATGTTATACGTTTTACAGAATCTTATTTGTTACAGTGTACCGTGCACCAGGTCCTTATTCAGAATTCTTATCAGAATTCTCTGAGTTTTTATCAGCTTTGGTACTTAAAACAGATAAAGTAATTATCGTAGGTGTCCTTAATATTCATGTTGACGATGATAAAAATAGCCTTACTGTTGCATTTAACTCTATATTAGATTCTGTTGGTTTCTGTCAGAGTGTAAATAAACCAACCCACTGCTATAATCACACTCTCGACCTTGTTCTGACTTATGGTATTGAAATTGAGCAACTATTAGTCGAACCGCATAATCCTGCTTTATCCGACCATTTCTTAGTAACTTTTGAAGTACTGTTACTAGACTACAAAGCATTAGTCAAAAGCTCCTGCAGCAGAAACCTATCTGTTAGTGCTATAGCCAAATTTAAGGAAGAGATTCCACCAATACTTAACTCGATAGCATGTCTGCATGTAAGGGAGGAAACTTATACAAAATGTACACCACCCCAAATTGATCATGTTGTTGATAGTGCTACAGATGCGCTGCGAATAAAATTAGACTCTGTTGCTCCGTTGAAAAAGAAGAAAATAAAACAACATAGATTAGCTCCATGGCATAATGCCGAAACCCGCAAAATAAAGCAAAAGTCGAGACAACTTGAAAGGATATGGCGTTCCACTAAACTTGAAGAATCTCGTTTAATTTGGCATATTACTCTCAATGAATATAAGAAAGCACTGCGTAAAGCGAGAGCAGCCTNTAGGGCATTGCGTTCCAAGATGCAGGGTTGTTGGTTGTTCCTAGAGTCTCTAAAAGTACAATGGGAGCCAGAGCCTTTTCTTATCAAGCTCCACTTTTGTGGAATCAGCTTCCAGTTTGTGTTCGTGCGGCAGACACCCTATCCGTTTTTAAGAGTGCGCTTAAGACCTTCCTTTTTGATAAAGCTTATAGTTTGGGCTGATTAGATTCAGCCCCTAGTTTTGCTGATATAGGCTTAGTTTGTCGGGGGACATCTTACTTCTTCCTTCTCTCTGTCTATACCTGTGTACTCTCATGTTCCGATTAACCCAGCTTCCCCAAATTTCTTTCTTTTTGGTGTCTATATACGCCGGGATCCGGAGTCATGGATGATCCTACGGTCCTGTGTCATGGATCGCGAGTCCTGGATCTTGAGTCGTGGCTGGGGGCCTGGATCATAAGTCCTGGATGGATATCCTCGTGGATTCATCTTCCTATTATACACACATGAATTTCCAAACATTTGGACTACCTATGTTGCAAATGTATTATTTTTTCAATTTACACACGGCATCTATTGCACGTCTGTCCGTCCTGGGAGAGGGATCCCTCCTCTGTTGCTCTCCCTGAGGTTTCTCCCATTTTTCCCTTTAAACTGTGGAGTTTTCTCCGGAAGTTTTTCCTTGTACGATGTGAGGGTCTAAGGACAGAGGGTGTCGTATTGTCATACTGATATTCTGTACAAACTGTGAAGTCCACTGAGACAAATGTAACATTTGTGATATTGGGCTATATAAATAAACATTGATTGATTGACATTGATTGATTTACAGAAAAATGCCTAAGACAAAAAGGTGTGTGTAGGAAAACCCCTTTTTGCAGTGCTGATAGATAGAAAATAGAGTTGAGACATAAAGATATGACAACAGTTTCATGTACACTTATGAAATGTATAGATTTGGAAACTCATTACTGAGGTAATAAATCAAGTGTGAAGTCATTTATCATAGACTTCTATATAACCAGACTACTTTTTTTAACTAGTCGCCCCCTGCTGGTCATTATAAAGAATGCAGGTGTAAGGCACTGCAATGTCTTCACTTTCCGGACCCGGACGTTGCCACTAAGTCTGCACACATTTTCTGTGCATTTCACTCAAAATCACCTAATGCTTGTGTTAAAAGGAGAAAAAACTAAATTCAATAGGCTCCATTTTCTACAAACCATGAATATTTGCACAATATTGAGCAGCCATTTAACTAAAAGTAGTTGAAATATCAGTCTGGCCAAAAGTGGTGAACAAAGTTGCAGACTGACATTTCCCTGGTGCTAACGTGGCTAAAACGACCTTTGTGTTGAAGCAACACATTTGAGGTCTTGAACAAATTGAATCAGTACATCAGGGTGGTTGTTTGTTTGTATGTCCATCTGTGCATAGGTTACGCATCATTGTAGACATACCCTATACTGTACCTACTCACACCCATCTCTGCTTCATCTCCCAGGCCCTCTCATTCATCCAGTCCTTAGTTTTGCTAGCAGCTGAACGCTCCGCCCCGAGCACCAAACAGAGCTGCGCCAGTTTGGGCTGGTTTCTCTCCAGGTAGTTGTGGGTGTCTCTCCGCAGCTGGTCCAAGGCTTGAGGCCGGCTCTCATCCAGGGACACCATAGCACTTAACATGGGGTTGAAGCGGAAGTACACGTCTGGAGCTAGCAGATCGTCCAAAAGGGTGTGGACCCCCTCGGTGTCAGTAGCACTGCTGATCAGGTTGCTGATTTTGGCCCTCAGGCTGGTGGAGGTGGCCGGTCCCCTCTTGACATTATCAAAGCGGCCGGTGCCAAGGGACAGCACACACTGGAAGGGCTGGTTGGGCCACAATAGACGGCTCTCGTGGATAGCCAAGGCACAGGGGTTGTTCAGGATTATTCCTCCATCCTATGAATACATACAGAATCAAAAAGTGTACAGGACAAGTTTTCGAAAATGGGCATAGCTCCCACTTAACGTCAAATGAGGTTAAGGATCTTAAATGATGCATGTACTTAAAGCTTGCATTGAAACAGATACCAAAGAACAATGTAATAATGCTAGGAAAAGTATTGTTGTTTAAAAGGGAAAGAAGGTTCTGCCCCCCCACCCTACCTAAAGTATTGTTTTCCCTTATCACACATTTACCACAAATATTCTCTATCGTTAGTTGTATCATTTTGAGACTTTCAAAGAAATCCTGAACAAAATAATGCAGAACTACAACAGTTTCCTACCTGGTGAATGTCACTTTGTAAAGGAAACTCCTGGAAGTATCCTGGGGCAGCTGATGAAGCTCTCACTGCCTCCCACATCTGGCAGGCTGAGCCTCCTGCATAGCGGCTGAGAGAGCCTGGTTTGTGATTGTAGTTGCGGAATATGAAGGCCTTCGGACTTGTACCCCAGTTTACCACTGCACTGACTGCTGAAACCTGAAAGATGTCAATAATATAATGTGTAAAAATAAAATCTAAACTTGTGCGAACTGCAACTTTAAGCAAAACAAATCCTGTTAAAAAAAGTACAGAGGCTGTGGCTCAATGGATAGTGTGATGGATAGCAAGTTCGAGTCCCACTGCAGTCAGCATGTCGTTGTGTCCCTGGGCAAGACACTTCACCCCAAATTGCTCCTGTGGGGATTGTCCACAATACTGAATGTATATAAGTCTCTTTGGATAAAAGCGACATGTAATATAATGTTAAATGTTTTCTGTTACTCACAGTAGTGGGCTTTGCTTTAGCATTTTAGGCAACATTAATCCAACATTAAATCATCAGTGCTTTCATGGTAAATTTGTCAAATGAATCAAATCCACCACCATGGTGATTGCATTGTCTTACCTTGGGACTCAACTCATCTCTGGCCGTTTCGATAAGTATTCTAGTTCCCATCTTTTCTCTAATCAGGATAAAAACAGAGCATTCAGACATGGTTGTGTTCTTTTTTTAATATGTTGATCATTTACTTAACTCACTGCAGTGTTTATGTTATTAACATATATTCATTGAATACCGTAGTATTTTCTCCCAGGTCTCAGTGTTGTAATAAGAGTGACTCCATCCCATCTTCACGGTGCCAACAAGCCGGTTCTGCCGAAACACTTCAGAGCCAAAACGTTGGTACATTTCAGAACACTCCTCCAGAGAGAAATGAGCCAGACCCAGCATGAAGGCCAGAACAGCACCTTAGGTAAAGACATGCAGAGAACACCAGTGAGATACGCGCTGAAGAACTGAGATGCTGTAAGAACAGCATAATGTTGGTATTTCTGATGTTTGTTACCTGTGCTCACTCCACAGATGTAGTCAAACAGTTCGTGGATCTTCCTGCCTGTCTCAGCCTCCAGTATCTTTAATACCTGCAAAGGCACCACACCTCTGGAAAAAGACAACATATTACATGTATTATATAAAGATTAATGAGTTGAAAAGGTAGAGTATGTATACAAGTACAAGATCGAGACCATCTTAAAGAGTGCTCTGGGTTATAATAAAACAATTAATTGATTAATCGATACTAGACAAACAAATATTTTATACATACTGTATATCACTGTTTGTTAGATGAAACACACAATTTGAAGACTTGATGGAAATGTTGTTATTATGTTATGGTGTTTTTTGGACATAAAAAAAGAATTACTCCAACCTATTATTGAGAAGTACACTAAGGGATTTCTAGATACTTAAAATAATCGTACATTGCTGTTCTGGTACTGATCACTCTGTAATGTGACAGGGCCCTCATTCATTAGAAATCTTTCATTTGTTTACCTTGTGCCACCACCATCAATTGAGAGCACTCTGATGCCACGACCTTTGACTGGATCCATGTAGCCGATTAGCGCCATGCTTTCTCTCAAGGCGCTCTGAAGCTCTTCATTATCTCTGAAGGTCCGTCTTTTCCTCAACAATGTGACTGCAATTTTCTCCTGGAAAACGGACACAAACCTTATTAATTTACTGAGGTCAAACTATGATTGTTAAACATTTGTAAATGTGATTGCTTTACTTCCAACACACCTTCCACATTACAGCTTTGCATGATGGGTAACAGATGAGGTGTTCATTGAGTGCGGCCAAGCAGGAAGTAAGATCTTCTGGAGATGAAGTCTGGGTCAGAGTGCCAATAAACCTTTGTGCCATTTCCTCTGCCTGCCTCCGACTCAGGACAAACTGAGAACATGCGACCAGAGATTAAACTCATGTACATGTTTGGTTTATTTGTAGCTTCTGTAACAGCACCAGCAATGCGATACAACTTAAAGAAGGGCATGTCAGAGCATGATATTTGAAACACAGTGTGCAGCTTTTTAGACAACAATTCCTTTTTTGTATATGTTCACTAACTGAAACATGTCACCTCAGCTTACCTTTTGATTCATCATTGGCTGCGGTGAAGTCATAGCAGGTCTGGGTTTACAAGTCTGAGTCAAAGAACCCAGAAAGTCAGGGATGGCACTTGTGGGATGTCGAAGGTAGTTTAAAAAGGAAGCAGTCTTTGGTCTTTCAGACGTAGCAGAGCCAGGATCCAATGGCGTTATGAGATTACTTTCAATGTCCTCATCCTCACCCATTCTACTTTGACCAAAGAAAAACTGATTGATATAACCGCCTGTTTGGGAGTAGTTCTCCCCAAAGTTGGTGGTATTAGTGCTGCTGTGGAAAAGGCCTCCAGTTTCATCGATGGCAGGCTCGTCTGGCACCAGTTGTGACAAAGCACTTTGAGTTTGTGAGGTAGACTGTTTTGAAAAGGGTTCTTTATAAGTGCTTTTCTGCTGCACAGAAATGTGTTCTCTCCTATACAGATCATGGTCTTCTTTTCCGGTAACCTTGGCACCAAAATAAGTATTGATGTGTCTTGCATAGTGTTGGTAGCTCTCCTCCCAGCTGCTGGAGACACTGGTTGGTTCCACTGTTGCCTGATTAGTACCTGATTGGACTTGAGGAATTTCAGCTTCCTTAGACTCTTTGATGGAAGGGTTTTGCATTTGTCTCTTGTTCAGCCTCTTGTTCGCCCTAGTGGAAGACATGGTTTCCAAATTGTCCTGCATTTGAGCTTTTGCAGGAAATACTGAGTTAATGTGACTAGCAACGTAACTGTAGCTCTCACCAAATGTGGTTGCCAAAGAACTGATATGAAATAGTTGCAGTCCAGAGTAGTCCTGTGTGGAAGGACTTGTTCCTGAGCTTTCCTGTGTGTCTGTGCTTTTTATGGGCTGCGTTGTGTCTTTGCCCTCCGATATATTTCGCTCTCTGGTCGCCCGTTGACTTATACCACGCCTCTGTGATCCGCCAAGATGTTCTGGAGTAATGGCAACAAGGCTGTCATTTTCAGCCAAAGGTTCAACATCCTTTCGCTTGAAATAAATGTTAATGTGTCTGGACAATCTTTTAAATGATTGACCAAAACGTCCTCCCAGTGAACTCAAAAGAAAACTCTTCTGAGTTTCTTCCAGGATCCCAATTGGAGCTTCAGGTTTAAATGTATTCCTATTGGAAGATGAGTAAAAACGCACAACCTGGAGATGATTAAGTTCTTTGGTAAAATCTCTGAGGAAGTTGTTAGAGGCAGAGCTTGTATCACTGTGGATTACATTTTTTAAAGTAGTTATTTTTGTGAATCTTGATGGATGCAGATGTGTCAGCAGTGAATATCTGTGTAGGTCAAGGCCGGGCGGTGTTCTAGCGAGACAATGGTACTTTCTAAGAAGGCTCATTAGGTACCTACTTTTGCAGTATGATCTCAAAGTCTTGTTCACAGAACTCGAACAAAAGTTGGTGCCGAGGTAGCGGCCCATGTTTGACCTGGTGCCCAGCAATCAATCAAATGTCACTCTTGAGCTTGCATTGATTTATATTGTAGCATTGTTTTTTACAGGAATCTAGGGAAAAACACAAAACAGAAGCATTAGAAAAAGTCTACAGCCATAATAGCAGCACTATGACACTATATTGCATCTGCTAATGTCAGTATTCTAACAAGCTCCATTACAATAACAATGACAATCTAGCATGTTGATTTTCAGAAGGTTTAATGTTTTCCATGTTCACAATCTCAGTTTAGCCTGTAAGCATGCTAACATTTGCTAATTAGCATTAAACAAATTACTGCTGACGCTGATAATTGAAATTGAATGTGTTGGTCCTTAATAAAAAAATCTAATAACAGTTAATACCATTCATGCTTAGGGGAACATACATTCCTGAATATGTCATGATCCAAACATTGCAGAGACAGTTCAATAACAACAAAAAATGTCTTCTTGCTGGTGGCGCTAAATTAAAGTTTGGGGATCACTTTATGCATTCTCCATGTAAAACTACATGTACAATAACTTAATTCCAATAATGTATAAAGAACATGATATTTCAACAAATGAATGAGCTTGTAAAAGCACACACTTCAGATAATAACATTGGTAATTGTTTTATATCTTTTATTGTGTGTTTTCAGGGTGAGCTGATTGTCTACAAACATTATGTTACACTATAACCTTGCACTTGCAGCTTTTTCTTAGAACTGTGTCCCATTATAAATGTAACATGAAACCTAAGAGCAAATAAATCAGTGAACATGACATGTAAACAACTCTCTCCCTTCTGCCCATTTATCGACTATGTCTGCAATGTGATATGAAAATGTACTGTAAGAACACAGATAAACGATCAGTATATGAGTGAACACCATGACTATAAAATAAAGTGCATTAAATACAAGTTTGGTGGTGCCTTCCCAAGCTTGGCAATGCACATACATCTATATTGTTTCCACTTAAGTAGGTTAAGGTCATGAACCAAAGTAGCTTAGCGACTCTAACCTTGACAAGAAATGAAAGATAAAGGCTCACACTGAAGATTTACCTGAAATGCAGTAGCAAGTTCTTCTGTATTCACATTCCTCTTCAAGCAAATCTATGTTTTTTCTAAATCCAGCACACCACTTTTGACAAACAGTGAGAACCACGATGTCTTCTTTGTTTTGATTCTCATTGAAACGTTCTGCCTTGCAATGCTTTAATCCTATTGGTTGAACTGGGCTGGGGGGCGGACTAGCATGACCAATGAGCTGTTAGTCCGCACAGGCTTTATGTCACGTGCTGTCACTGTTGACTGCAAGCGTGGAAGCACAGGCCTAAGATTAGGGAGGGCTGACAGTTCAAGGGTCTCAGTCAGTCTGATGATGTTATTGGCGTCTTACGTCAGAACACACACCCCTTAGAGCTGGATACAGGCCACAACATGTGATACAAAAGAATAACAAGTCTGTAGTGGTTTTTAATAAAGTGCATAATGTTTTAGATTAGCCTACAACCTAAAAAGTAGAGTTGAAACTATGGGAACTTACATTTAGCTTACTGTGCTTTCCCAAAGCCGAGTATTAAATCAGAAGTTATAAGTAGTTATAGCCATTCATTTGTAAATGAAGAATTACAACAAAATTACATTTCCATAACAACACTGTTAGCCCATTGTTATTCTGTTTCCCCAACTGTAATAAGAACATAACTGTACCCTGCAGTTATTGTTGGACTAATATATGTATTTTATTATTATGTATGTTTCAATATCCTGTGCACAGTATACAGATAATTATCCAGTGATTTGCAGCTTGCAAAACAAATTTGAATCGTTTAGAATGCTGTTGTGGAAAAGATAACACAATGGAAAATGTATTTAAATCAAACGTGTCTGCCTTATAGCATAGATATTGTTCGTCAACATTACAACTCATTTAACCTTTGATTGCATATGCTGTTATGCATTGCAAACTCACGGTGATAAACCAAAAACAATTTGTACCTTCTATGCCAATCTTGCTGTAAGGATGTAAAAGTCCCTGCTGTGGGACTAATAGAGGATTTCTGATCTGAACACCTTTTGAACTGGTCAAATGTTATCTGGACAATAAGCATGCCTGCCGCTTACCACAATTCCTGAGAAACAATTTCACTCTTATGGCTTGTATATATTATTTCAGACTGACAATGACATCTAGTGGCAGCTTCCTGACATTTCGGTTCTCTATCTGCTTGAAACCGACTGACCTAAGAGGCTGTGTGAAACAGAAAATGTGTCTCAATTTGCTTCAGCGATTTTTCTCTGTTCTGTAGAAGAACAATTCTCTCCACCGTCATGTTTTCTATGCTGTCAATATACCAATGTTCATTTTAGAAGGTTGAGTTACAAAGCGCAGATTTTTGGAGGATGAGAACACAAGTTTGAATAACTGATAGTTAGATTGTGTCAACCTTTCTTTAATTAGTTGTATTCTTTATTGTCATATTTCTCTGGATACAGATGCAATGCTTAACATAATAGCCTGTAGAACTATGTTTTTCTTTGTTGTTTTCAAATATAAACATCTATTACGGTTGTAAATTCGTAAATGTTTTCATCATGGATGAAAGTATGTTTAATTAAACAAACAGTGTTACAAGTCATATGATGTTGCATTGGCTTCACGACACACACTTTCAATAAAAAGGCACCAAATATTTCCCTTCATCAAAGAACAGTCTTAAACATTTACAGTTAGGTTTGTGATACAATGATGGTTTAAGAGGACAAACCATATTGTATTTATCCAGTTCTTCTTTAGGATCAATTAAATATATAAATACACTTTATTTTTTCTGTGCTCTGGAGCCATTATTTTTTCTTCTCACAGCGTCCTGTTTGGCACTCCTCCCCACGTCCAGTCCACTTTAAGCGATTTCTGGCAAAGGCTTCATAGCAGATTTCCGCTAAGGGCCTCACAGGTGACCACATCAAGAAGCGACCCACCCAGCCTAAGCCCGATGCATTGTACATGACTGAAAACGCTGGGACTCCACGGTGAATCTGCCAAAACAAAAAAGGTTAGCCAGACGGCATAACACTAGATTTATACTAATCTGCAACAACAAAGAAAGCCATTTGAACATAAGCTTACCTTGTCGTTCTCATCAATCACATGCATTTCCTCCATGGCCATCTCGTAGCTGACACCTTTGTATTTCCCTCCATCATAGTCTGGCAGGGAGATATCGATGAAATCTACTTTCTCAGGCCTGTTTGTCTGCATAAACTTAAGGAACCAGATCTCTTTGACGCATAAGGGACATTGCCCATCATACAGCACCTGAAACAGAGTAGGCAATATATGACAACAGCGTTTATTGTTTTTAGTTTCATTCTTTCATTCAAGTGTACATTGGCTAATAATGGAGAAATTGATTTCCAGCTGGTAGAGGTTGAATTCCCTCTTTTGTAACTTACTGCTTTCAGGGAAAACAATACTTTTGAAAAACGATATCACTATGTTACCCAGTCCAGGTTCATAGTATGTACTACAAAGCATTTTAGCCATCTTTGTTTTAGAAGGGATCCTATTACTGCTTGACAACCAATGCTATAAGGGGAACAATGAATCCTACTTGGAAAACTGTACACTCCCTGAACCCAACAGAACATTTAAACACAATAAGAGATGAAAATAGATATATCACAAATATAAAATAGTTATATTTCGCTAAATCAGATGATAACTTTTACTAAGGACATAATCAAGAACACTAAAGGTAGGACACTTGTAAATAAAGGAAAATGTAAACCCTGATAGCTTTCCATCAGTAACACATTATGACACATGACATAACAGGGTTCTAGCCAAAATGATGAAAGCAGAGTATGACTCAGTAGGTCATCATTCAGGTTGGTGATTGTTGGAGTGAGTTATTAGAAAGCTGCGCTATATTTAGCATTATGTAACGCTGAAACTTTATATTTCCACTTGTATTAACGAGTCACGGCTGTCACTTCTGACGTGTGTAGCTGGGTCTTGTATTTCTGATGACCCCTAAGGAACATGACATGTCACTGTAAACTATTGCCGCTCAGCTAAAGTTAATACGGTTTCACGGGACAGGACGCGCTGCTGCTGGGCTCTGCACGTGCCGGTGCTCCAGATTCAAAACTTTTATAAAGGTGACAAGCTTCAGATACTGAGGTGACGTTTGGCTTTTGCTCAATTTATTTTGAACATGTCGTTTCTCTGCTGGTGTTAAAGCTATATGTATGGGCTTAGATATGTCTCATAATTATTTGTGTGAACATAAAAACAATGTGTGTGTAAATATGTGATTTGTAAATGTAAAACACCATCCACAAATGCATTTAAAAGATTTGCAAACTCACAAATAAATTTGCAAATGTAAAACGGATCTGCAAATACGCCAAATATTTTTACAAATAAAAAAAAAGATCTTTGAATATGTCTTTAACATTTACAACTTTCGATCTGGCATTTGTGAATCTATTTTGTATTTGTCGACCAAAAATGCGCTTGTGGAGCTCACACAGGGTATATGCAGGAATCCTGAAGTCAAATTTAATACCTTTTAAGACCTTTTTTAAGACCCTTTCCATACATTTTAAGACCTCATCGCAACTTTGAGTTCTAACCGGTTACATTGGCAACACACTTTACCTCACATTTACTACATTGATTGTAAGATAGCAAAACTAAACAGAGTGCAGACAGACTACTGAAGCCTCCTTTCCACATGAACTTCAACCTCTCTGTGAAGGTCAGGTTTAATGCAGTATGCTGCTTTTTTGCTTCTGTAGACTCTGTGCTCTTTCATTCCAGTAAAACTCCTCAGAAAACATTAGAAACCAGTATTTGACCAATAAACAAAACAATTGACAAAACTTTGAACTATGAAATATGTTAAACTTTGGTGAGCTTCAGCGGGGTAATGCCATATAGGAGCTCCCTCACAAATACCCAGGGGTTAAATTGGGCTGGGGCTGTCCGGGGCTAAGCCCTGGCACATAAGACGATGCTCTGACGTCATCACCCTCACACATTTGTCGTATGTTTGCAAAAAAGGATATATATGTTAAGACTTTTCTCGTTCTTAATATAGACTATATTTAGGGTCTATATGTGTTGACTTTACTTTAAAATAGCAGATCTCTGTGACCGGATATAGTTTGGCTTAGACCCCGACCCCACGAGGACGCATACGGTAAAACGCATACGCAAGCGCAAAAAAGGCTTCCGTTCACACGCATTCGATTCATTAACGTGTCCGTTCACACTAGACCGCTGGAAATGCTGGAAATGATGTAGTACATATGTCAGGCCTTTAATTGGCGCTGCCGCCCGAAATACACCAAAAGTAGCGAAGAAGACCCATGGTTGCCATGGTTGCCCTTCTGTTTATTCTCCGCGGTGGACGGCGTGTTCTCCTGCTGTTTCTCTCTCCGGTAGTCCACAGCAGATGAAAAACACCCACCTCTCCGCCTCTTCCAAGGAACGAGGGGACCGTGCGGCAGAGTTTCCGTAAAAAATTGTTTGCGCCGGTCAACATGTCCGTTAAAGTTTAAATCTTCCGTAAGAAATTAGGAAAGTGCCGGTCAGAGGTCTTCTTTGTTATTTATTGAGCTTTAAAACAAATTGATAACGACTCTGTTCTCTGTATAATAATATAATAATATTTAATAAACGGTGACTGCCTCTCTTTTTCTCCCCCTCTTCTGACAGCCCAGCAGCAGCAGGAGACGTGGGGAGAGGGAGGCGGGCTCTTTCATCGTTATCAGAAAATGATCATATAGGGCACACACGGAGCCGTTGGACCCCCAGAGCGTTGCGTATGCCGGTCTACCCACCTTGGGACCCGTTACCGTAGTCGTTTATTAAAATGCATAAATAAATAAATGTTAACTGGTAAAATAAGATATAAATGAACCACAAAAATAAAATAAATTAGCCTACATTTATTTATTATTGGCTATGGTAGGTTATTGGAAATGTTCACATACTTATTTGATTAATAAAATGCAAACCGATCTTTTTCATATGGGTGTTTAGAGTTGTACCCCCTATTGTCTCTAGTAATTGGGGGGCTCAAAGTGCACCAGATTGAAGCATTTTACTTTAAAATGTTCAAATAAATCTTCCCTCGGACCACCCTAGAGGAGGTGAAGTCCACCCACCAATTAAAACATGTCTATGCAATACTAAATACATTTGAAGCCTTTTTATATAAGCTGTCCACCATGTCAATACGTTTATCTTTTTGTAGTGTATTGGTCTTTTGTAGAGGTTTTTCATTGCCAGCTAAAATCTTGCCTAGGGCAGCAAATTGGTCAGAACCAGCCCTGGTGTCATCCCCACAGCACCCCCCA